TACTTTACTATACAACACAATTATCAATTTATCTTTGTATTTTCTTGAAAAACGGAACCTATCCAGTTCTTGAACATAAACAACTGCTTTATGTTGAATATTTAAGAATTTAGAACATTTTGTCAATACCAGTGACACCAGTTGGTAAAATATACGTGGAAAACTGATTTTGGGATAATTTATGAAAGCTGCACGGAAACCTATGATCTCAACGTAGCATACGCTTCTTTGCTCATACAGATTTCACCATTTTGATCTCTGAACGTGTTGACTTGTAACACTACGTTTATTTCCCCAGCATCGCTATTTTCTATTTTTACCTTCTTACGTGTTACAAAAGATCGGCATTCAAAGTTCTTTCACACGTCTAACAGAACGTACGACGGAATTTAAAAACAAGTTTAGAAATAATTTACCAATGATTATGACAGATAAAGAAACTTTGACAGTAAAGTAGTAGAAATCAAATGTACCTACCTTCGATTTAAATATATAATTACTATTATTTTTTTAATGGCTTACAAATCGTATGATTGAACGCGCAACATACTTATTTATACTTTTGTTCAGACGTACGTTAAAATGAAGCTGTAGTAGTATTGTGTCAGTAATTACAAAATACTCTTCAAGGCAAGTAGTTCTTATGTAAATTTAAAACGTTTATGTTGATATAGACGTAATTTTATAATGAAATACGTAATTAGAATAATGTTCGCTTAAATCATTTACTTAATAATAAAAAACGTATCGAATATTTATTACTCCGCTCGATAAATAATAGATAATGCCCTATCTTTCGATACAGAAATATCAATAAGTCTTTCTCAACCTCTACTTAACTTTTCAATAAAAATACAATTTATTCGTAAATTAGAAAGTAATAGTTAGTGTTGAAGAGTAATATAAAGAATTTTTTGATTAACATTCATGATTTTGGAATCAAGTCAAATTAGCGAATCGAAGTGTGAGTTATTTCTGAACTTCTAAATAGTGGACTATGCTCTGACGATTATACAATCACAGATTATCAAATAAATTTAAAAAGTGCCCTATTTTTATTATTAATACAGCACTTTTCCGAATTATAATCAAACCATTTATGATCTATAACATTTTAATCAAATATCACGAATAAAGTTCTAATCGTAATTTTAGAACTAAAACTTGACAAGAATTTGTGATTGTAGAAATATATCGTTCGACATAATTGTTATATGAACGATATAACTCTTTTGAAATTTCCAGTCTTTTTTAATTTCGAATGTACAACAGTTAGAGTTATGCATATAGTAGGTTCAAGTTTTTTTCAGCGTTCCAAAAATACAGTACCATGGTGATTTCCACGTGTCTTTTCACTGCAACTTAAATGTTCAGCCCTCACTCATATTTTCCTTTGAATCCTTTCAACCGTTCTACTATAAATAAACGTAGATATACTTTTTCGTCGTGCAACGATCATAAACATATCCAAAGAATCCCAAGCTCCCAATCCGGTCACGGACTTGGTGTCACCGATTATTCATTGTATCTAATTCCATCTTATTGTTAAAGATGGGAATACCACTCTTTCGACATATTTAGTATGGTTTCATTTTAGAGAACTATTTTTAAGAACACTATATTAGAAATTCAGAACTTACAGAAAACACGACTAACTTCTCAGATTATTCTTTTACAAATAGGTACGTTGTATTCTTAAATTTAAGTTTGATACGATACAGATTTGCAAAATTAATGTTTTCGAATAAGAATAACGTGATCTTAACACCTATTATCATTAAGACATTATAACAGAAGATGTTAAAAGTAGTTTATAATGCATTATTCAAATCGAACAGTAGGAAAAGAGTACTACAGAATCAAGTAAGATAATTAAAAATCCATAAAGATTCGACTGTAATTTAAATGCCAAAGTCTAGACCACATACATACGTTGAAAGTACTAGTATCCGTGGAAGAACAAATTTTCAAATATATTCAGTGTTATAGCGACATCCCTAATTACACCAGTCTGACCTAAGGTCCTCTGTACATGTAATCGCGATGATTATTCAAATTTTCCACCGAGCAAACGAAAATAAAGTAGTCCGAATCACGTCCTATCGAAAATAGTATCATTCGCTATAAATGATGTTACCACAGCATGACTCTATCAGCGCCGACGCAGTAAAACGATCCCACCTATGCCTCCCGTAAATCGGTATGCGTTCCCAACTACGGGAGGAAGCCGATTCCTCGGGCTGGTCCCTCAAGAATTATGAGGTCGATCGGTGTTCCACCCTCTGGAGCGTAAAAGGAGAGTTGATTTTGACCCATCCGACCCTCCTGGAACAGATTCTAATTTTATCAATCCCCCTCTACTAGCTCGGTTTGTCATGGTTAGCCCACTCCTGCTTGCACGTGAACGGTTCCCTCCCTCGTCATCGAGATCGGTTATAAATATTTTTCTACGATGAATATTGCTGGAGTGGGGACGATGGCTGATTCTTCTTAGTGACCGCGAAGAGGGATTTTAGATAGAAAAGTTGAGCCTCTGGTAAATCGGAGACCAGTTGGACCCGCGACCTCGCACCGACCCCTTCGATATTATTTTTTCCGAATCGAATAGTGTTCCCTTCTTTTTATATCAAACGTTTTATCGTGAACGCGACACAATTGTTCCTGTGTGTAGTTTACTGCTTCTTTTCTTAATACTGATAATACGATATTATCCCTGCGATTGCTCGGTTCATCGAGGAATCCTCTCAAGCATAGGAGATTCACTTATTATTCGCCGGCTACGAATAGTGGTTCCCGTGTTTAGCCCTAACAAGTAGCCAATCGGCAATCTGTAAACTGAACCGAAAAAAATGGGGGACACGCTGGTCGAGGACTCGAATCCCGCGGTGCAAAAGTTGAACGCTGATGTGGAATCGCAATTGCAGGCGCTCGAGGAGAAAGCAAGAAAAGCACAGGAGGCCTTCGAGAGGGAAGAAAAACTACGCAAGGAACTCGAAGAACAGAACACGAAACTTCTCACCGAAAGAAATGCCATGCAACGGCAGCTGGAAGGTGAAAAAGGCTCTCTCTCCGAATACATGGAAAAGTCGTTGAAATTAGCTGCCCAGAAAGCCGATCTCGAGTCTCAACTTCAGGTAAGCTTTAGATAATTAATTTAGAAATTCTCTCCTGTATTTCTTTCTACATTGCTTGCACAAAATTCCTCGATTCTGCGAGGCATTTGGCAAAAAAGATTCTAAATAAAAATCTTCAGGATAACTACTAAGAAGTAATGAAATAGTTCAGCATCTATCCTACTAATTTCAAATTTAAGTGGTAGCCCGGATTCGTCTATCGTAGTAATAAGATTTCTACTTTTTTAAGAAACCGTTTTTTTTCGGTTTTCGAGTGATCAGACAAACATTTAACCGTTGATACAAGCAGTAGAAAGTAGTTCAATTGGCACGGTTCACCGATATCGAAACTGTTCTTGCGATGATAAACGCGCGTCCTCCAAGAAGCGTATCATGAATCAAACAACTGATAATTATACCTCGTAGAGGAATGACTGAATGTCGAAACAAAAGAGAATGGGGTTATTGGTGTCTCCTCAACTATCCCATACTTCATCGGGGCCGATTAGTATTGTAGCTGCAGTTACAAAAACAGATTAAAAAACTGAATTAATCTGCTGTAAGAGAGGAAGCTGACTTTTACGTGTCTCGGGAAAAAATAACAAGACGTCAAAGTATGCGGGACTTTATTTATACTTTGGGGACGTAAATAGTTTCATTCGTGATTCCCCGCATTCATCTCCAGAAATGTCCGTGAAAAAATCATGATACTTTCGTGTTTGATAAAAAAAATGCCGTCTCGCCTGGAAACAAGAATGGAAAATTCTTTAATTAAATGAGGTTTCTTTTTAAATAAAATTCCTGAATAATATTGGTTACGAGTACAATATAATTCAAATGATAATACTCGTATAAATCGGAAATGTAATTGTGTATTCGTTGAGCGGTATTTTGACATGATATTGTGACACATCGATACGTTATTGAAATTGTAGGTGTTAACGTTCAGCTTGTCCAGAAGAAATTACGCTTCTTTCTTAGTGTCAAAACATCTTAAGCGGCATGACACTAACATTTTCGAAGTGGTCAATATTCTGCTCAAATGCTACGGTTCTTTTTTGGGCGGTGTGGGGGTGGGGGAGAAGTTTGCAATTCGTGCACCACCGGTGGTTGATCGTAATATATATCGACCTGGCTCGGGTTACTAAGAATGATGCATCTGACAAGACTTGATACATCGCCGTTTCGCAAGAAACGCAACCACAAAGTAGCGAAGGTGTGCCATTAGTCAGACCAGAGGTTTGAATATCCCAATCACCGCACGTTACTCTTCTTCCGCGACAGATTATTCTACGGTTTTCCGATATCTATTCGGTCGATCCTATATTTATTCGCATGGAACTTCCTCGTTCACTGTTTTTTTACTACAATTACCAACAAATTCCCTGGTTACTTTAATTTCTCCTTTATTAAGTCACGCGTAAAGTAATGTCCGTGTGTTTGAAACGAATAGTATTCTGTTCCGAAATAACAAGTGCCTAATCATTATTATTACCATTATTCGGCAATATTTTATTAGAATTAGACCGTTACAAAATCTTGAGGTGAAAAACAACTATAGAGTTTTACAGAGGAAGAATTTTTAATTTATACATTTCCTTTTACAAATCCAAATGAAAAATTCGATTCGAATGACTTAATAGAATAGAAATGTTTTTGTTATATTGAATGTAGGGAATGAAAAAAGTAATATCTTGGATTGCATCATTCTTTGATTCTTGATTCTTCGATTATTTCGAGAAGCTTTGCCCTGGTTTTTCAAATAAAACTTGTCGGATACGAAAAGTTAAAAAATTCCTTGAGGAATGAGACGTGTTTCAGAATTCCACGCTATTTTTGACAATCTTTTAAATTCTAGATCAGCTTGTATTTCTTGCCGACGCTAGTTGCTCGCTCGTTCCAGATAGGATTCAGTTTGCCTTCCGGCATTTGTAAAGATCATTTAGTCCTGGTAGAATGTGGTTTCTAGTGCACCGTATGTTAGCAAATTTACAAGCTGATTATTTCGCCAATTGTTTTTACAAATTTTTACATTTCTCAGAGCAACAAAATTTAGCAACCACGATATGAAGGGGAAATAAGAGAATGTAAGAAAATTTCAATTTCAAAATGAATCTCGTCTCGTATAGTCATTGATTACGTATGGTTGCAAAGATATTAGCAATTGCAACGGGTAAGTCCGAAATTAGACGATATCATGTATGGATAGTGAAGACAGAAAGAAGCAGGATCAGAGGAAATAAAAACGTTGAAGTCTGCTTAACGTACTTACTTAGGAACGGAAACATTGAATAATGTATCCCCTCTCTGGGATGGAACCAAATTTAGCCGCCGCCGATCCCAGATTCCAGGTTATTAAAGGTGGGTGTGGTCATGTGCTGGAACAGCCGGGGAAACGAACGAGGTAACAGGTGTAAGGTATATTTATACGTTGGTACAGTTTATGCGTCATCACGCAACTTCTTGGCTGTTCATCTTGAATTCGAGAGATCCTCCTCATCTCTCATCAATTAAAGCACGTCTCAAGTTTAACGTACTTCCGTCGGCCTCTTACTTTATCGAACATTCTTCATTTCGTTTGTTCTATTCTGGTCGTTGCGATTCATTCGATGCACCAAGCTATAGAATGCATACAAGGCATTACGGCGTTTGAAGGAAACGTTAAACATTCCATCGATCTATGTTAGGCATTTAACTTAAATTACATATTCTTCTTGATAAATAGAATTACGAATCCGGCAAAACACTGTTCACAGCCAATTTCCGTCTTTTTCTTCTATCTATACGACAACAAACAATTGTAACGATTAACAGTACGAAAAATTCTCTATCGAAATGTTATATAAAAATGTTGCTGAATTTAATCGACACTAAACGTAATTACAGTTTGCTCCTGTTTTGATCAATTCCGATTGTCGGTTATGACTAGTAACAGCTTTGACAATATTAATAATTATGCAAATTCTGAGTTCAATTTTAGACATTCAATTGAATACTTTTTTGTATGTCTGATAAATATCGATCGCCGTCTAGGGCACTGTCTAGTACACTGAGACTCTTTTACAAACATGAATATTTTTTTTTGCAAAATCATTAGGAAAAAACGTTTGATGCCAACATGTCAATTGCATAATACTTTCTTAGAATATTTCACGTTTCATGTTTTCTGTATACTGACACCGGAATTGGTTTCTGTAAACCACTCTTCTACCTAAGTATGTATACAACTTCCATGTTGGAATATAATACTTGCTTGCCAAATGTTTCCATTTTTTTATATGCTCCGTTTTTTTATTTATACATACGATAGTGTCGTGGCGCAATATTTCTCAACCGTGGTACTAATAACCAAACCGCGTAAGCCGTTCCCGTTTGTATTTGATTAATTGATAGGCAATTTTAGATAACCTAATATATGAGTACGGAAATCACTACGTATGTTTGATAGATTCATTGAAACTATGAATGATATACGTTGATATTGCTGTACCTATTGCATCGTGAGTTCGAAGGTATTTCTTTATATTGAGAAGAAATAAAATGCCGTACGACACAATTTCTGATACGTGCATGTACAACACGTATTGAACGGCACAGGGACAAAGGGGGGTGAATGATTCGGCAAATAATAATAATGCGTGTGCGTAGAAGCGTCGTCTTTACGAGACAGCTAATTAAATTGCTTAGCCAAGAAGTCATCTCTGCATAGTACGTGTAAAACGAATTATAACATGTCTATCAATTCATACCAGTGATACGAATTAGCAAACATGTAATAATTTGTTATACAGGTTGCTTATAACGATATTACCTCGTTAAAGAAGTATCGATATTTCTTGTAGATCTATTATTGAAACAGCTTAGGTATTTCCTAGCTGATCTGGAAACCATTCCTAGTTAACCTTTCCTAGGACATCGGGTATTTCGATAGTGCTTTCAAATAAGAAAATAAAAAGAAATTTAGAGCAAATACGACGTAGCATAATTGCCAAATGTCTCGGTGAGATTGAGGAAATTTAAGTAATTGAAAGACAATTTCCTAATATTCTTTCGTGTCACAGGATCTCAATGATAGATTCAAAGAAGAGGAAGACTCGAGGAATAATCTCTTCCAAAATAAGAAAAAGCTGGAACAGGAAGTAGCGGGTCTGAAAAAAGATATCGAAGACCTCGAACTGAATCTCCAGAAATCAGAGCAAGATAAAGCAACGAAAGATCACCAGATTCGCAACTTGAACGACGAAATCGCCCACCAAGACGAACTCATTAATAAATTGAACAAAGAGAAGAAGAACCAAGGCGAAGTTAACCAGAAGACAGCCGAGGAGCTCCAGGCTGCTGAAGACAAAGTCAACCATTTGAATAAGGTCAAGGTTAAGTTAGAACAGACTCTCGACGAACTTGAAGACTCTCTCGAACGTGAGAAAAAATCACGGTCAGTTGTTAGATTTTCTTGACGATTTTAAAATTTCATTTCGAACAATATATTCAACAACTGTGTGTACTTGTTTCCGTAGAGCTGACGTAGAAAAATCCAAGAGGAAGGTTGAAGGAGATCTGAAACTCACTCAGGAAGCCGTTGCTGATCTCGAGAGGAACAAAAAGGAACTCGAACAGACCATCCAACGCAAGGATAAAGAACTGTCATCCTTGACTGCTAAACTGGAAGACGAGCAATCCTTAGTTGGTAAACTACAGAAACAGATTAAGGAACTGCAAGCGCGTATCGAGGAACTCGAGGAAGAAGTGAGTTTAAAAATATCCGTTGATTTTTCCTAATTAATCGTAACACAGTTATGTTGCATAAATGTCATTCGTTGAATTGTTTAAATTCACCAGCAGAGAACTCGAAGAGCAACTGAATTGTTTTCTTCTATTTACCTTTTCAGATCGAAGCTGAGCGTGGTTCTCGCGTGAAAGCTGAGAAACAGCGCAGCGACCTTGCTCGTGAACTTGAAGAACTTGGCGAACGTCTCGAAGAAGCCGGTGGCGCGACTTCTGCTCAAATCGAACTCAACAAGAAGAGAGAAGCCGAACTTAGCAAACTTCGCAGGGACCTCGAGGAAGCCAATATTCAACATGAAGCCACCCTCGCCAGCCTGCGCAAGAAGCACAACGACGCTGTTGCCGAAATGGGAGAGCAAATCGACACACTTAACAAACTCAAAGCTAGGTAAGGTTGAGACATCGATTTCTCTTTAATTTTACATTTATGCAAAGGATATAGAGTTTTCAGTTCTAGCCCTTGAACTTGCCTACACTAGTTTCGGGTCAATGAAAAAATGTTTCTTAATCGTTTTTGAATACAAAATGTTCTATCGAATGATGTAAAGGAAGCAATCGTTTTTTTTTTTCATTACGTTAGAAATATAGTTACAGAAAACCGTACCACGGATTTATATTTATACAGAAATATCGCTGAAGATTTTCTTTTGAAAACAGAAATTTTCTCTAGAAACCTGTAAATATTTGCATAGAGCCGAAATTGCAATGTGTTTTCAATAGGGCCGAAAAGGGCCGTCATGACATCCACGCCGAGCTGAACAATTCTCGTGCCACGACGGATCAGGTTGCCAGGGAAAAGGTATCTTAGAACCGTGAGAATGATGAATCCCTGGTTATTTCAAAGTTGTACGCAGAAACTTGTCCGTTTCTTGTCCCGTCCTATGTTTGTGATCGAATTCTTGAAATCGATTAAATGTAGTACATTTAACTTAATCTATTTAATAACTACTTAAATATAGACCTTCGATTTTTAATTAAACAATGTTTTGGTGTTTGTTCGACGTTTCAGAATGAGCACGGAAATTCTCCCTCGTATTATTGTAATCAATTATCAGCAATGTTTCCGTTCGTAATGTCGAAATATTTGTGAGGTGATATGTTTCATTACAATCAGAATGTCATGCACACAATTATATGTCCCATACAGTGACTAATTGCCTCCGTTGAATTTGTTTTTACACGAAATAGGGTTGAAAAGGATAAGGTCCAATACTTCAGCGAATTGAATGACATGCGTGCAAGTGTAGATCATCTCAGTAATGAGAAGGTAAGATCTTTGGTAAAACATCGTTTATGGTACGGCGAACTAACGCAACTAACAGCTTTAACAGGTAATCGTCAGTGCTGAGAAGGGACATCATTTCAGAGCTGCTTCTAAAACCTTGAGAATGCATTCATACGTAATTTCCATGGTTGCAAAGTGTGTCCGGCTTATAAAGCTTGCTTCTCGTTTGTACTTTTATATTTAACATCGAGATTCACTGTGGAATGATCGTACTTGATTATTTGAAATTCTATGGAAGTCGTGTATTTAAACCTTTTTGGTTTCAACGTTCTTATATTGTCGATCTTTGATAAATTAATTTCCGTAGCCAAGCAACGTTAATTATTACCAATACTGCTAACCTGTGGATTACAATGTTTTCAAATACGTGCAAAAGATCATTCCATGTTCGAATCGAATCTAAAGTAATTGAATCAAGCTACTTTTCTTATGATTTCCAACTTTTAAATACAGGCTGCTCAAGAAAAGATCGTCAAACAATTACAACATCAGCTGAATGAAACTCAGGGCAAACTCGAAGAAGTGAATCGCACTTTGAACGATTTCGACGCCGCCAAGAAGAAACTGTCTATTGAGAACAGCGATCTCTTACGCCAACTCGAAGAAGCAGAATCCCAAGTCAGTCAGCTTTCCAAGATCAAGATCTCGCTCACCACACAATTGGAGGATACAAAACGTTTGGCCGACGAAGAATCAAGAGAACGCGCCACTCTCCTTGGTAAATTCCGCAACCTTGAACACGACCTGGACAACATTCGGGAACAAGTCGAAGAGGAAGCAGAAGGCAAAGCTGACCTCCAAAGGCAACTCAGCAAAGCGAATGCGGAAGCACAATTATGGCGTACAAAATACGAATCCGAGGGTGTTGCAAGAGCAGAAGAGCTCGAGGAAGCTAAGAGGAAATTGCAGGCACGTCTGGCCGAAGCCGAAGAAACGATCGAGTCCCTTAATCAGAAAGTTATCGCCCTTGAAAAGACGAAACAGAGATTATCGACGGAAGTCGAAGATCTTCAAATCGAAGTCGACCGTGCGACCGCAATTGCCAATGCTGCCGAAAAGAAACAGAAGGCCTTCGACAAAATCATTGGCGAATGGAAACTCAAGGTTGATGACCTGGCTGCCGAACTTGACGCCAGCCAAAAAGAATGCCGCAACTACAGCACTGAATTATTCAGGCTCAGAGGTACCTACTTCTCGTCTTTCTAAACGTTCTGTTTAATTCGAACCATTGAAATGATAAATTACGTTAAAATAATAAATTATGAAGTTGTTTGTATTGAACGCGCATCTCCTTATATGTGTTAATATGTATATCGTTTCATGTACAAATTAGGTGCATACGAGGAAGGTCAAGAACAACTGGAAGCAGTACGTCGCGAAAACAAGAACCTTGCCGACGAGGTGAAAGATCTTTTAGACCAGATTGGAGAAGGTGGCCGCAACATTCACGAAATCGAGAAGGCCAGGAAGCGCTTGGAAGCTGAGAAGGATGAACTTCAAGCCGCTTTGGAGGAGGCAGAGGCCGCTCTGGAACAAGAGGAGAACAAAGTGCTGCGCAGTCAGCTTGAACTTAGTCAAGTGCGCCAAGAAATCGACCGCCGCATTCAGGAGAAGGAAGAAGAATTTGAGAATACCAGAAAGAATCACCAGCGTGCACTCGATTCTATGCAGGCGTCGCTCGAAGCCGAAGCCAAGGTTAGCATTTTCTTGTGCTTTACTAGGTTCTAACTCCGTATCATACGAATCGCAGTTGGAAAAGTTTCTTCGGGTAAAGAATAAAAATCACACTAACTGGAAATCATTTAATCGAATGTGCAGGGTAAAGCTGAGGCGCTCCGCATGAAGAAGAAGCTTGAAGCTGATATTAACGAATTGGAAATCGCTCTGGATCACGCAAACAAAGCGAATGCCGAGCTGAAGGACGTGCAGACCGCACTTGAAGAGGAGCAAAGAGCACGCGATGAAGCCAGAGAACTTCTTGGAATTTCCGAACGCCGCGCTAACGCTCTACAAAACGAATTGGAGGAAAGTCGCACCCTTCTTGAACAAGCAGATCGTGGTCGACGACAAGCAGAACAAGAATTGGCCGACTGCCATGAACAACTGAACGAACTTAGCGCTCAAAACGCTTCTATCTCTGCTGCCAAAAGGAAACTTGAGGCTGAACTCCAGACTCTCCATGTGAGTATAGAAACTTTATTGATTCCCCTAAGGGTTACTATTTCTTTCACTTTACTCGCTCCTTAAGAACTACGCTTACCCTACGCACTTACAATTTATATTTTCTTATATCTACCCCCGCATGTCTACACACACACACACACACACACCCTTTCCCTATCTCGGACCTCCGCTTCCGCTCGTCTCACCTATCACTCTCATTTCTTCTATCATTCATTCTTCCATCCATTCTCCCTTTTCTTCACTCCCTCTCATCTCCTAACACTTCCCTTACCATTTCCTGCTACCCCCTTTCTTCTCTTCAATCCATGCATTCTTCCCACACATGTTCCCACGTTTCTTCCCTCAACCCACAGATCCTGCACCTTCTTTTTTCCTTTGCCACCTAATACCTATATTCCCTCATCTCATTGCCTAACTTAAATCTGGCTACCCTTTAACACCTACTTTCTCCCCACCCTTTTCTCAGATACCTAGGAATCCCTCTTCCTTTAACCATTCTGTACCATTTGTTGTACTTCCTCTCCACGTGGCTCTCCTCCTTGTCTCATTCCTTCTATCTCCTCCACTGACCATCCCCTTTCCTCATAATACTCCCTTCTTTTCTCTTCCCATCCCTCTAATGCTTCCCCTCTACTCGTCCTCACTGTTATTTCCTCCTAACACATCCTTGTCAGCTCTCCTCCTTGTCCCTCCTCTAATTTCCTTTCATATCCCCATGCTCTTATTCCTGCCTTCCCTTTTAGTTTCTCTCTTTGCATTTCCTCCCTTATTATATACCCCGGTGTACTCCTTTCCACCCCTAGTACCCACTTTGGAAATCTTTCTTGCAGCCTCTCTATCTTTAGAAAGCCCTCTCCTTCCATCCCCACACCTCCACTCCATAATTAACTGTTGCCCATACCATTTTATCAAATAACCATACCCGTCTTCCCCAATCTTTCCATGTCAATACTTATATTTATTCTTTTTCTTTCTAACGACATGAATTTGTCAATTTCCCCGTTTAGTAGTCAGAGTATTAAAGCGGGAAAATTAAATTTTATCTACGAATCATACGCTCGACAAGACGATATTGTTCCATGCGTGATCATAAAGTAAGGTTTTAATAGAATTCATAATATGTGATTTTATTTTTTTTTAGTCTGACCTGGATGAACTTTTGAACGAGGCGAAGAACTCCGAAGAAAAGGCGAAGAAAGCAATGGTTGATGCAGCTAGATTGGCCGATGAACTCCGAGCTGAACAAGATCACGCTCAAACCCAGGAGAAATTGCGTAAGGCTCTAGAAACACAAATCAAGGAGCTCCAGGTACGTCTGGATGAAGCCGAAGCAAATGCCCTGAAAGGCGGCAAGAAGGCAATTCAGAAACTTGAACAACGCGTCCGTGAACTAGAGAACGAATTGGATGGAGAACAGAGGAGACACGCTGATGCCCAGAAGAACCTGCGCAAGTCCGAACGCCGCATCAAAGAACTGAGCTTCCAGGCATGTATTTCATTAATATATTCCCACTAAATACATTCTAAACCTGTATGATTATGGTTACTAAGACCGACAGCGTAGACCAGGTCTATAATATGAATTTCACTTAACTTTTGTGATAATTTGTAATAATGATGACTATATTCGTAACGTTTAGGCCGATGAAGACCGTAAGAATCACGAACGCATGCAAGATCTCGTTGACAAACTTCAGCAGAAGATCAAGACATACAAGAGGCAAATTGAGGAGGCTGAAGAAATAGCTGCTCTGAATCTTGCTAAGTTCCGCAAAGCACAACAGGAACTCGAGGAAGCGGAAGAAAGGGCAGATCTTGCCGAACAGGCAATCACTAAGTTCCGTACCAAAGGACGTGGAGGAAGTGCCGCGCGCGGATTGAGCCCAGCGGTAAGCTGAACACAAAATTATTAAATACAAGAGAATATCTTATAAATCCAGCATTTAATCTTTCATCAAAGACAGAGATAATTCATGCCGTACCGAGGTTCATATCGGTCGTTTTCAATTGGTTTCGTTGAAATATTTGTAATCTATAGAAAATATTCCAACTAATAATTTCATTTACTTCAAAATTAAAACATACAGAGTCTGAAGGTAATCTCATTGAAAATTTAAAAAATTCAACATTCGTTATTGTGTATGACAATTCTGAAATTTAGATGTTCAATCCTTTATGAAGCTTCATTTCTTTTTAATAAATTCTACCGCTATAAACTGCGAAAGGTAAGAAAATATAGAGGTACAGAATTTCTGCTGATTTATCTGATATTACGCCGTAAACAACTTCCAAAGAAAAAGAGGATGTTATTGGAATATGCATTATGATAAGCGTGATATTTTGTTCGTTTTCGCACCACAAGGATTCCCCTAACTTATCAAATTGTGGCGCACCGTACTTTATACATTTACCCCATACAAGTGAAACAGTTCGAAGGGTTTGAAAATGATGATAATAAGTACCGAACACGTAGATGTCGTGTACCGCGCATTCGAAACGACATTGTGGTAAAGGATCTCTAATTGAAAAATCTCTGTGTCCCTGTATAGCCGCAACAGAAGGCCCGCAAGGCGGCGCCTTCCGCAATGGAGTAAAGAACATCGCGCCGGTCCATGTAAGTTCGTGCACGTGTCAAAAGCACATGTGTGTGTCAAGTGAAAACAGAGCACAACAATCAAAACAATTTTATACAAAGAAAACTGTCACGAACCCCAATCTACCGATCGTCTATGCCTTATTTTTGAACCTGTGTGATAAGCTCGTAACACGTCTCGAAGCAAAAACTTTACAAATATAAAGCTTCGCCCTTGTCATTAATTATTAGTTTTGGTATCACCTGTCCCAACAGATTCACGATAATTTATAAACAACTCCTTGTCTATGGTATTTAGATGCGCAATTGCTTGACTAGTGGAACGTTACATACGTAAACGCGTGCACAACGCACACATAGGTACACTTGTATTGGAATATTACCGTAGAGGAGACTATGCCAAATTATAAACTTTAATTTTCTTTGTCGAGACATTCCTTTTTATTGACTTTAACTGTTTTTGCTTTGTTTTGTTAAATTAAGCAGAAGTAAAGGATGCACATAACGGAGGTATTAACACCATCGATTAATTCGGTACCCATTGTTGTTTTTCGTGTGTAAGGCCAATTATGTCCGATAAATGCACAAACGCAAAAAAAAAAGGACACACAGAACGTGTCACTTAATTCCCATAAATATCGTTCCTTTCTATCTGTGAAACATATCATTAGATCCTTATTAGAGATGGGATTAAGAGTACATAAATCATATAGTAGTTAAAGAACGTCAAAGATGTGCAAGTTGTATAATGTTGTTACAGAAATGTTAGTGACATCACGTTTTACATTAATTCCTATACTATTGATCGCTTAATAAAGTTTTCTAACAAGTTACGTCCACAAGCGTTGACATTTGCATGTACAGTAATCTTCGAGTCAATATTGTTTTTGTAGTATGATTTTCTTAGACCATACATGTTGTCAAGCATAAACATACTGTATACATTATTTTCTAGACTTTCGAAACCTCTTCGCAGCCACTGATAAGAGAGATTATGTTGGTGTCAGACCCCGATTTTTTAGTAACTTTGCAGATGAGAAAGAGACCTCGAGTTATTGTCTGTGCTGCAATAAATTTCGGTGGAAGTTCATATCTAGAGTAGGAAAATACCCCTCGTACACATACCTGCGTAAACAACATTTCAAGTTTTTCTTTGCCTTAAAAATATTCTACCCCTTTACTTACATTTAAATAGTATTACTGAACTCTATAGCAGAAATATTTACGAAAATTATCATACTCATTCTTTAAGAATCGTTACGAAGAATTTTTAAAATTAGAAAAATTTATTTCGCTCAGAATATACTTGGGGAAGTTTTTTTTTACGATTATTACGGGACAGGTAGGATAATTTTCGTAAATATTTTTGCTACTGAATTTATTAATACCATTTAATCATAAGTAAAGGGATCGAATATTTTTAAAAACAAGGAAAGCTTTAAATATTGTTTACACCGGTATGTATCCAGGGGGTGTTTTCTTACCCTAAATATGAATTTCCGCCGAAACTTAATGTAGCACAATTAGTAATTCAAGACCCTCTACTCGTCTGCAAAATTACAAAAAAAATCTGGTTGACACCAACCTGACCCCTTTGTGAAAATGTGGAAGCACCTTTTGCGTTAAGCTGCATACCAAGTATCTCTTTGGACTGTAGTAATCGAAACACTTACCGTGAAACATATTATTCGATCCTGATAAACAGACAGATATTAATGATTGTCAAATAACAAAAAAGCAACTGAATGAATTGAAATTCATGAATACGCATAAGACTTGATCCCATCACTAAACCACGAACGATGTTCATATCAGAACCTGGCACTGCTTGGAAATATTCTAAAACGTTTTTCTAAACACGTTTTTATCACTACTGTTCGATTCATTCGACTTTTCAAGATCCTCTCACTGTCTACCATGGAAATAGATATCACCGTCAAGCTTTTACACCAATTTTTGGCCCATCTCAAATAAATCTCCGTTGAAACTGGTTCGGAGACTAACAGGTATTTGTTTATTTTTCAGCCACATCGATCTGCGTTCAAACCCCAATTGGATGGTTCCGCATTCCCGCCACGCTTCGACCTGCAGCCCGATGGTGAACTGTAAAGATCGACGCGACCAACTTACCCGTTAGAGACTCGATCGTTATAGCTTAACAAACGAAGGGATTAATCGCAACGAGCGAACTTTCATCGTGTCATCTCGCTATGTAACTCACTTCATCATCTTCACACCTACACACGCCTGCACACTGACGTACAATGGTACACTCAGGTTCTTTACTTTCATCGACACGAGAATGTCCGTGCTTGGTCACTTTGCCAGTTTTAAAAAAAGGAAAAGTAACGAGAAACGAAATTCCTCGTTTGAACATTGGCATCTACTACATAAATTATTGGGCAAAACACAGGGGAAACGTGGGGAGGAAAGATAATCTTAATCTTCACCACTCGCGCTGACGGTCGAGGAAAGAGAGAATGAAAGAATGAGAGTGGGAGAGCAAGAGAGAAAACGAGAGAAAGGAAAATGCGAGCGGTCGAGATAAGAAGCGATAAGAACCAGTCAGAAATGTGAATGTATTATGAACACATGACAGAAAAGAAAATATGTGCATACTGGCATACGCGCGAATCAGGCGGACGTATCAGTACTCGTAAAAAAAGTATATCCACTACAAAGAGGAAGAAAATAAACGAACGAGATTACACGTTATGAGAAGCTGAACAACGAATAAATGTAACGCTAGTCGCGGATTTGCACGGCGGCGCGCATACTATACATGTCATCCAAATGATAATCCTATCCTTATAAACTTAATTGTAATTTGTAAAGAGAGCCGAAATATGTATTTATTAAAGTAAATAAGCAATAAATAAAGTTAAGAACTAAAACTAAGACTTGTTCGTTTAGTAGAATTGGTTTTCATCTGTGCACGGAAGTACATTTATATTATGTCATTAGTTGAAAATCTGTCATTGTAGCTACAGTTAATTTAATTATTACAAATACTATAAAGTTGAAATAGTTACAGCAAGTGGAAGGTATAACGCTTTTGCGGTTTCTGAACGGTTTACTGCATTGCACTAACGTTTCCGAACAGTTTGTCGTTCTATTACATTGTCATGCAGAACATTAGTTGTACAGTTCTAACTGTTGAGGCTTTCAGGTGTAAACCGTGTCTTCGTAGAATTGTTTTCCCAACGTTTCGCAAGCATTGCAGCTAGCTCCATCAGGCGGTCAAACGACACACTGATACTGGTGTGTGCCTTGCGGTGCTTCTCTAATATACTGGAGTTTCCTCATGTTCCTACTTACAACAAAACGGTTTCTTTAAAAAGTAAAATAAATGGCACAATATTCAGAATCATGCATCCAGAAGATAAACAGTCCACCTCCAACAATAACGAAAATCAGAACACAACCTTTCTACCACATATACAAAGCACTACCGACTGCATCAGCAGAATACTTAAGAAACACAAAATAAAAACCATGTTTATTACACACGCCAAAATCAAGCAAATACTTACCTATCCCGAAGATCCGTAACCGCAGCTTTCATCGGCGAGGTTTTACAAAATACCTTGCTCGTGCGAAAAAGTTTATATTGGCGAAACTGGGAGGACTGTGAGCACACGACTCAAGGATTATGAGCGATGCGCCAAATTAGGGTACATTCAATCAGCTGTTGCGGAACATCAGAAAACAACAGGACACCAAATCAGGACACTACCTTTCAATGAAACTAAAGTTATAGCAAAAAGACCAAAGGTTATTTTCCTAGAAAATACCGGGAAACGTTGGAAATACTGAAAGACTCTAATAATATCAACAAGGATATAGAACACCACCTGAACCAGTACCATTCTCGATACTGCATTCCCTGGCACTGAAATTCTAAAGCCTATTTGAATACCTTAAAGAAGCAAAACTCTACGAAATTCTGTGTTAATGACCACCAACTAATGTTCGAATCAGATATTTGAGACTTTCACGGCCTGGTATCATACAGGTCTCACTGTTGTGGGTTTCGAGTGTAAGCCATGTCCTTTTGGAATTATTTTCCCACCGTTTCGCAAGCATTGCAGCTAACTTCGTCATATAATGGTTAACCTCCGCTCATCGGCTGTGCCGGATCATTTTGACCCAACCATTGCAACATTTGAAGGTGTGAAATCAGTCCATATTGCGGTAACGAATACTATACCGCATCTGTTATATTTGAGTAGAAATAGTGCTTTATACTTGAAATTACTTAAAATTTTTGTTCACTTTGACAAAAAATATAAAATCAGCAATTCCTGCTAAATCATGTTCTCAATGTTATATTTGCATCGGCGATAGTAATATGTGTGCTACGCTATTGCAAATGTATGAAAAAAAAGGTTGTAAAACACACAACAAATAAAACTATCACGTGTACAAATTGTATTATAACACAATGAATATTGTTTCTCCTGCTATCAATACTCATATACTACTTGAAAAGATATGTTAAAAACTAATCAGAGACACATTTTATACGAATTCATTACACAATATGACAAATAATCTAACATTCAAGATTCGTCTTAATTCTCGAGCACCCGTTGTCTGAAAATCGATCGCAAACTATCTTTGCTTCATCTGTGATTCTTTTTCGGCTCAGTACGTAGTAACTGTTTAAATTGACCCTTTACGAGTTCCCATTGTGTCCACTTCTCTGTAGAGACTCCAAATTCTTTACAAGTTTGTTCGAAGGCATTTACACACAGAGGCAAATAAGAATGGTCCACTGTTGGCAATAGATGGTGGAGACCATGTAAACCAAAATTAGTCAATACAAGGAAATCGGAGTCATCGATCACTTTTCGTTCCCTCACGGCGTCTAATTCCAGCAAACCCCAATCAAGATCGTCTCTAAAAAGAAACATTTAAATTACTGTATAGTTTTATGTTATAATGTACCAAATACATTATTGTATCGGTTAGTGCACTTAGCAACAGCAAAAGAATTAAGAGCAAGAAACACGTTGTATACTTACACAGATAAAAAATTTGGTCAAATTAAGAAAATTAAATAAACAGTTTTTTAATTATATTTGTTCTGTGCTACTCCGCTTCGCAATTATGGTAGTGTCTTTAATAATTTAATTTCACTTTACGTTCATACTATATGTACTCTATCAGCTTCCGTTTTTGAAAGACATGAGTTTTTGTAAAAACGCACGATTTTGGACAAGAATGACGTGTTCCGTGAAAACTAAACACGCTGGAAAGTTCAATTTTTCTTTAAAAGATAGAGGAGGGTTTCCCCAATACTGAGTGTATACATTATTAACTCCTGTGGTTTGAATAGTTTTAAATGATCCGTTATTCGTCAGTCCGTCCTACTTTGCACTAGTGAGAGTCGCGATGATGATGTCCAGTCATTGATTGGATGAGTGATATCCGTCGAATCTGACACCGACCTGAGCGACCCTAAATATTCCCGACTGCCCTTCCTGTTCCTTGTCAGACTTCCGTAAATAATTTCCGCAGTCCGTACCCATCCGCGTGCCGTCGAAACCGCGTGTCCAGTCATTAGCCGCGCGAAAATTTACTAATAACACCTTTCTCAAGCTTTCTCTCCGCTTTCCTCTCTCATTTCCCTTATCTCTTCTCTTTATATTACATTTCCCTTACTAGTTCTAGTAATATATTTCGATTTTTACCATCTCCACTATTTCTTTCTGATGACCTGACCGTCATTAGGCCTTCTTAAAACACCTCCGCCCCGTCTGAATTATTCAAGTACGTCCGCTCGTCCTAAAGTTTCGTACAAACTGGGCATCCCGGACATGAAACGTCAATACGTCATTTTTGCTCAATCATGCATTTTTACAAAATCTTGTGTTTTTCAAAAATTGAGATAAAGAAATTCTGCTGCTGGATTCGTGGTTGGGACAAGAAAGTCTACGATGATTGCCAAATGGATATTGCAGATCAGAAAAAAAGTTTTAATTCGACAGTGTTATTGTTAGGTTGTTCGGAAAGTTCGTAGGATTTTAGGCCCAATTTTTTCATTATCTCTCCATTGATGAAGAGAAACATCGTTTGATATGGTGAGCAGGTAGTATCTCTTAGGTGTATGTTTGGAATATATTTACTGTGCATGTTATTCATTTTCCATTTTATATTCTGCGGAAAATATAGCCGAGTAACTATGAACGTTCAAGAAATGCATTTTTGTTACGTTCTCTCAAACGTGTAAATAAACTACACCATTTCGATTGAGAAATGTTATACCATCTACTCTACTTATCAGACTTTCCCCGTTAGATGTGTATTGATTTTATTCGCTGAAATATTCTGTATATGAAAAAAACATCAAAACAATTCATCTAGAAGTCAATAATCCAAAAAATGGAAAGATATTGTTAGAAGAATTGAAAACTAAAAATACGATATACAATTCAGCTTCGAAAACTTTACGGACATTCCGAACAACTCAATACATTGTAATATAAACAAACCTGCTTGTATCACCATCGTGGAAAATGTCCGGATGATGATGTGCGGCATTAAATCCAATAAAGGAAAATACAAAACTGCTTGACATGATAATCAACAACCAGAACTTTAAAGCAAAGAGAACACTCGGTGCCAACGAAGTCATCAACACGGGAAGTAAAAATGGCACTGCATCACGGAATTCGAATTTACCATATTCAAAGATTACAGAATAATATCTAAAACAGACACAGTTTATTGGTATTGGTTAAGTCGTGGTGTCATTTTAGCGAACGCATCTTTTATTGTTTCCATCGCGTATACCCTACATTAGACTACATTACTTCGACTTATTTTATTCCCGTTTAATGTGATTGATAAAATCCAACCAAATGTCTATTCACATAGTGCAATTTCACTTTTACTACGATTTTAATTAAAAAACAATTGGTAAACTTGTTGAAGTTATTATATTTTTTTTTCACCGATAGAATGAAAACATTACTAGAAATAGTTCAAATAAAATCTTATTTTATATAGAATGTTTATCCTGGTATTACCTCAAATCACTGTATAGTTTACGTATAAATTAATGTTCATATTTTTATGAAGAACAAAAGCCATAACTATACCAGACATGGTCATATGTTACTCCCGAGCCCGAATCCCTCTCCAGAGGGTACCCCCACTATGGAGCTTAAATTGCCACGCTCGAACTTCGAACCTTCCAACACGGCTGAAGCATGACAGCCTGAGCCCCATGGTGGGGATAACCCCCGAAGGGGAATAAGGGATTGGGAGTAATGCCACAGACGAGATATAAGAATAGACCTAACATCTTATGGGACTCGGTGTCCCACGAAAATCACGCTGGTTCGAGCGCACCTCTACATAAAAGTTTCCGATTTTGAGGAACTACGTCCGACACTGTGATGATGCACAGCACACACACACACACACATGACTGCATATAGCGATACACACATACATTATTGTCCCAGTTTCGCTAACAAGGACTGGAATACTGAAATGGTACGGAGGCTTCTAACGCTCCCGAAGTATGGGACAGAAAATTACATTGCATGTTAGGTCTATCTTTATATCTCGTCTGTGGTAATGCCTAGTTTACCCCTAGTGATTAGCGATTAATGAGCACGTGGTCACCCGGGAGTGGGGGTTTCGGTACCCTCAGCAAGGCAATATAATGCCTAGCCTTCACAAGGACCTGAGGTCCAGGATAGTGATGGGCACCATCGACTAAATTAAACTATCGACTAATGATTATTTAGTCGCAACATACTATCGACTAATGATTATTTAGTCGCAACATACTATCGACTATTTAGTCGATAGTTTTTAGTCGACTGAAATTTTGCTTTATAGGTTATGTATAGATTATGTCATCAATTTTTCAGCACCATTGGTGTATTTACCTTTTTGAAATGTATTAGTTCATGGATAGAATTTCAAAAATATAAGTGGTAAACAAATTTTTTTAAACAATTACTAATATTCGATTTTTTGTAAGCTATTTAATATTGACACTTAAAAAATTAACTGCTCTAAATTTTGTATGAAAATCAATTAGATTATAAGTATTAATTTGCACAGTTCTTGGTAATGCATAAAAAAATATATGGAAAAATTACAATTCGTTTGCATCGCGAAGAAAATAATCAAGATCCAATCAATAGCTCGATAGTTCAAGCGAGTCGCTTGAAGCGACTAAATTTAATCGACTAAAGTAGTCGCTTCAAGTGACTAATATTAGTCGCCTGAAAGTAGTCGCTTCAAGCGACTAATATTATTCGCCTGAAGTTAGTCGCTTCAAGCGACTAAAGTAGTCGATGATTGAAAAAATTAGTCGACTGAAATTAGTCGTTGGTTACTATCGACTTAGTCGATAGTTTTTAGTCGATGGTGCCCATCACTAGTCCAGGGGTGGCATTATCCGGAGTATCTTAACGCCGACGCTTTTCACCCATCCCAACTTTTTAAGGCCCGGGCCATATGGAGGGTCGCATGTACTTATCAGGGGACTGACAGTCTTTAGGATCGTCCCTCCTTATAGCCGTGACTCAATAGTCAAATTTGTAAAACAATAAATTGTTCATATTTTTGCCTTGGAAAAATAACTTAACGTATAAAGTAATATGTATATTCACAGCGGTAGCGAATATTTCGCAGCGATAGATTCACAACAATTTTAAATGCATGGCGTCTTATGAGACTGTTCACACCAATGCGAAAAATTTCCGCAAAAATTTATGTATAAAAAATCTATCATCGCAAAACATTCGCTGCCGCTGCGAATATTTCGCGTTGGAACAAAAAATTAGTTATAAAGAAAGATCATTTACGATGAAAATGAAAAACGTCAAGGTCGTATCTTTAATGGTTGCGACGATAAAAATTTCTTTATAAAGGTAGTTTTTATAAAAATTAGTAAAAATGCTAAATTTGAGCGTCTGTGTTTTTTAAACAGTTTTGAAACTAGCGAAATGATGACTTAAACCCCCCGCCCCGATTTCATGTAGACTATACTATATTTCAAATTCAGCAAAATTCCAAACATTGTGTACAAAAGTGATCCGCCTGCACGTCAATCAAATCTGTTAATTTTGGCTTGACAAACCAACCTTTCGGTTTGATATGTAACCTCGCGAAGTTTGAATCAGATGTGCAATATAGTTGAACGTAATAGGGAAAAAGTAAGGTAGCATATTACTAATAAAATATATTTTTAACGATTGATTCAAATGTCGCGTGATTACACATTAAACCGAGAGGTTCGTTTGGCATGTCAAAATTGACAGATTGGAGCGTCCGTGTAAATGGATCTTTTGCCGGGAGAATACATGTGAATGCACCTAATGACCCCTATAACGGCCAACTCTAGTACAGGCCGGAACACGCTGTCATCAGTCCTATGAGCAGTAAGGAGGAACCGGTCACGTTACCTACTTTGAGGATTTACTGTGATCAACTGTGATTATGTAAGTGCAATTTATATGCGTAGTTTTTTTAACTGTAATTATTTTAAGTATTATAAATAATAACTAGAATATTGCGTTCACACTGGGCGAGTACACGTTAGATGTAAACTACATATGCATAATTCGTGAGCATGCCTGATCTATGCGATACTAAACTTTTAAGTGATTCGTGGTAAAACCAGAATAAACTAAAGGTGCCTAATCTTTACTGGACGTACAGTGATATGAGGACCTTACCTTTAAACACGAATTATTATCAAGCACTGCACACAACAAGTCTCCATTTAAATCAAGGATTGAGTGCAATTTGTGTCTACGAATTTAGATTTAGGTTCTATGTATTGTATTATGTTTCCGATATTCGAATGATTGTTTGTCAACCGCGATTAGTAGACTGCATATAACCAACATTGCCAATTACGTGAGACAAAAATTGTAATCTTATAGTACTGTGCATCTCTAAATTATTTGATTATTGAACTCTTTTTGTAACTGTTTCATTATTCTACCTTAGTAAACAATATGGTCGCAAGTATTGCGCATACTTTTATGAATTTTATTTGGATGCTAGCAAAATTAGCATCTATCGTATACACTTCTAGGTTTTTCCAAAAGAGATTCTCATCTTCCATACATCTGGAGCGTTATCTATGAAATAAAATATTCTCTAATCGAGAAACGGTAATTTATAAAATTTGAAAAATAAATATAATTTAAAAAGCGCGTAGAATAGAATATATTACTTTATATTTGCTTGACTGAAGACTATTGATCATCATGGTACAAATTTTGATTAAATGAAAATCATAGTTTTCAATCTACAGTGTTTTTCTATTGACCAATAGAAATGGAAGTTTTATCTTGTGTACGACCTGATAAAATGTAGCAAAGATAAATAATACTATTCGAACCTTTTAATCAATTGACCGTAGAATAATGCTGACCAAAGCAGGGGGCTCAGAAGTTGACTGATAATACCTTTAATCATACTTTTTCTCTTGTCCGGGAGCCATTGAAACAAAGGTTCTGTTACGTACATTTCATAGTCCCAGAGAGTATTCGGATAAGTATGATGACTCATTACATGCGTTATTCGCCATTCTTTCGACGACATTGTACTTAGATCAAAATAATACATTCGAAAATTATCCCTCATATGAAAATAATTATGAGCGGTTATTGCTGTCCACGCAAGAAAAATTCCTGAAAATAATACTATTTTAATAAAATTACATTTCACTGATATTAGGAGGCAATGGAAATAAATATGCTTATGACAGGTCGTGCATTTAACAGTAAACATGAAAAATATTCAGGTATGTAAGATAGTTTTCGACACCAGACCAAATTTTGGGCTTTCTGTAGATAAAAAATTATAAAAGGACAGAAAGGCTGTCGAAATGACTGCCGAACGAAATACATATTTAAATCGTTATGGTTTTTAAGGGGAAAACCACTTTAGCGGTCCGAAAACATAGTGTCACTTTGTCCATTTTTTGTGAATAAATGATTCGTTAAAAACTTTTTTTGTTATAAACAATTTTTCACGAAATTTTTTTTGCTGAGAATAAAACACAATTGTATTTGAAAATATCCAGACGTATTTCTGTAGCCAATATCATGTAGATCATGAAAAATTTTGGGTCTAAATCTACAATACCTACTTATGTTATAAGCCCCGGAGCACCATCTAGAAAAAACCATAAAAGTAAAATCCCTTTAGCCCTTGCGGTGCGGCATACTTTTGACGAATGGTTTATGGCACTACTACTACCACTTATTACTTAGAGGCCAATTCATAAAATGTGTATACACACTCATAGCACCGAATGGGTTGAACAGATTTTTTATTGAGTCGATTATTATTCAGAAAAAATTGTTATAGTGATACTATGTTTTCGAATCACTGAAATAAAACCCCTTAACTGGTCTATAATTTTCCAAGTAACTTGTTTTGCAGAGAATTTATAGAAATACACATATATGACTGGAATATTTATATGTACAGTTAGTATTGATTTTCACTTTGTTTTTAATGATTACACTATTTTCTATATACCTATCATATGAGAGCTAATTAACTAAAAAAAAGAAATTCATAAAAATGACAGACAATACTTATTTAGTCGCATGAAATGTGCTATTTTTAGAATACAATAAATTGCACGTCATAGATATATTTTGATCAATTTTCACAATAATTGGTTTCGTCGGACTTGGACTGCACAAAATTCACGCAAGTGAGCGACAATATTCCATTAAAATTATAACATATAAAACTGTATCAACATTTGTTTTTATTATATTCAATTTTACCTATACATTTATAAATGGTAGCAATTGGTAAATACATACTCTTCCTTCTAGTGATATTCTATAGTAATTAATTTATTAATTCTTAACTAATATTAATTGTGACATTCTGTACTTACCAGCGGGAATGATGACTACATAAGATTGCAAAAAAACTGCAGCTAGACTAAGAATAATTGTAGTAGTAACGAGCAAGTCGGCAATAGCATTCGACTTCTTCGAAGGCCGATGAAAATCGACGTGTTTGAGTGCTTCCAGTGCACGTTTTTTAAACGTATGAAAGAATCCATCCGGTTTGAATGTTAATGGCACCGACCGTGAAGAAACTGCCTTCCTTATAAAATATTTGGGTAGAAGTTTTGTGGCCGTATCAGTCAAATGGTGCGACTAGAAGGAACATGTCATTTAAAATTGAATCAATTAAATTGCATAAATTACATTTTACAGGAATAAAAAGTACAGGTAGTGTAGTCACGGTGATTTTATCAATCAGCTTCAATATTAATTAATAATTTACGAAACACTCGTTCCGTTATCAATGTGATTTTTGACTTACAGCTTCCTCAACAGTTTTTCTAGATTCTCTAAGAATTTGTTGAAAAACCTAAAAGATTGTTTTAAACTTCTAAGAGCTCTGAAGCCACCCATAGACGATATAATTTGTTGTACTATTGATATTACAACATCCTTATGTATGTTGCTCCTACCGTTTGAACGACAGTTCCAACCGTCGAAGCACGTCGAAGTGATATATGTCGTACGACTTTTCTGGGTTTGTACTTGGTGCTACTTTTACTGCTGTTAGATAAACCTTAGTAAGCGCTGACAATGACGCATATCATTCTATTATTATTCTGAATGTGTGCGACATCGTGCTAAATATCTGATATTAAGTAAGTTCTGACTCAAGGTTCAGTGTTCGATGAGTGGCAGAAGGACATAAGAACTCTTTGGATAGAATTTTCAGTGATGTTGGAATTCATATTATGTAGCTCTCACAGCGCTCCTTAGACCACTATTGAGGACTCGAGAGTACCAGATCTTGTACAGTGGAAGCTCGTTTATTGCAGCATAGGAACGACCCTAGTTTCTAACTAGGTCAGGGTTGGGGTAGACCCTAGATTCACATGGCGATGGATTCATGTATGGTCCATCGCAGCTCCCGGGGGAGGTGATCGCCGAACCCGACCACGTCTCTCCTTGAGGTCGGCTAGAACGGCCTCCCCATGTATCGCTATCGGAGTCCTGGGACTCCCTCCCTGTCCTTGACGGGGGGTGGTAATTTTGAAATGGGTAACCAGAGGAGGGGGGGTTCCTGAATTGTTCGGGACATAAGCAGGTAACTGGATAAGGGGTTGAAATAGGCGATACAGCTCTCTCTCGATGATGGAAAGTACACAAGCACGATGATTCCACCCCTGGTCTGTACCGAGTCTGTACTCGGTCTGTGGGTGAAGCAAAGAGTGAGCTGGTACTCACTTTGGAGACGAAGGATCGGTTGCCCCGACGACCATACTCCTTTAACTAATTTTATTAGGTAGGGATGGGACGATCCTAGTGACTCTCCGCCCCCCGCGCGAGTACTTCCCCTGCCTCCATGTGGCCCGGGCCTAAAAAAGTTGGTCGGGTTGGAAAACCGGGGGAAAGAATATCCCCGGGTAATGCCCACCGCAGCCCTATGGCAGAGCTGTGTGATATCTACCGACTTTACGTCACAGATGGGCCTTGGGAGGGAGTAGCGAAACTCCCTCCTCCCGGGAGAAACGAGCCAAACTAAACTAAACTAAACTAGGGTAGATCCTAAGTTCCAGGAACCCCAAGACGCCCTTAGAAAAAGAGAGAAAATGTCCTCTTTCTATTATCGCGCCAAATTTCGCTACACCCACACCAACAGACACGACCAATCACACTCAAACACACCCTCTCCACTACACAACGCATTCAATATAAAAGACAAAACCCATGCAGTCCACAAAGAAACTCAACATCCAACACGTTAACATCACGATCAGTATTTGTTAGAAACTGCAGGTTATAATTATTACCGGTTTCGGCAGTATACCCGGTATCTACCGCTCAAAGTCGTTATTCGATTATGATTCCTCGTACAAATACGACGAGGAGAAAACATCGAGTATTTATTGTTCTTCTTTGACTTTGAACGGTAGAGACGAGTCACGTACGCGTTGCTATTCATGCAGGTAGGATAGCCTGCTACGAAAAGGAGAGCGAAAGAGAAGATAATATTTTCGGCTCACAGCGCCGGTCGGTATGAAAACACCGGTCGTCGGCCGTAACCGATTGGCGATGTACAGTTCGTTGGAAGAGATCGTTCTCATTTTGCATTCGATCTTTTGTAAACTGATAAGAGTTGTAATCGCGGGTATGTTAGCTGTTTGCTCAGACAAACGTTCTTTGTATTCCACATTCAGTAAAGTCTCACTGAGCAAAACAATCACGACTCACTGCCTCGTTAATAACCTATATCTACCCGAGTTCGGGAAACTGTTAGATCCGGGATTTTTATTATGAGTGCCGCGACGACGAGTTTCAATCCTCGACCTTTTTGAACGCGTGGGCTCTAACTCGGTCTAACAGTATTAGAACTCAGTATAATTTTACATATTGTAAAATAAAGAACTCGTTAGTACAGCACATACAGTAAATATTAATCATCTCTTCGATCCTCTACTCTGAGTATTAATTTACTCTGGAAGCGCGGCACATCCAACCGGTTAAACCTGACCGATCGTCAATTTGTGTCGCAACAGTTATTTTTTGCGATCAACTTCATGATGTTGTGATGCCATCAAAAGTCGCCCTGAATTCCTGTGAAAGGAACCTTATAATCCATATATTTGAAGATTGTTGAATCAATAGGGTTGCCAAGAGGTGTTAATTTTAAACAAATTGATAGAAAGTCTCCGAAAAAGAATTTTGGAGAGAAGACATGTTTTGAATTTGTTTTAAAAAATAGTGTTTTGTGTTAGACTTGGGCAACCCTGCCGTAACAATATTGTATTTCTACTTCTTTTGAAAATCAATCTGTGAAATACTGATCGATTGAGCCATTTTTCCCGCGTTTGCCTATTTTTAACATTTAGTAAATGTAATATATCGGACACATAATAGAAACTATAAGAAATGGTGATATTGTCGTCAATTAATATTATCACGATTGCACTGTAACTTATGCGCTTTAATAAAAACAAATAATTACCTCGAAAAGTTCTGTTATGTCAGTGCCTTTAGTAAGACGAATCCATTCTTCTCCTCCGGGATGATACTTAGAAAAAGCTTCCAGATCATATATGTTATTTCCGATCCTCCATAAACTTTCCGCACCATCTATTTTTCTTCTTGCTTCGAGAAACGCATACGGCGTGTGGAATGCGTCATTTCTTCCAGGAAGAGGTTCCAAACCTGATATCGAGCTTTCAATTTTCGCCATGATACCTTTCACCACACTTCTGCGAAATTGTATAATGCTTCAGTGCAACTTACAAGATAGGGTGATCCTCCCTTATTTTATAGTATAAACGTTCGTAAGAGTAATATCAGTTTTGATACGATAATTTCATAACACGCGATGAACTTATAAACTGAATTTTCGATTGAACCACGAAAAGATGACCTATTATATCAATTATTATCTCTACTATTTTTCTCCTATAATAATTGAATACCAACTAAACAGTTATGGCTTATTTAAATTGGCAAAATTAGCTGGTATTCATTTTACCGTAATAAATGAGTGAAACTGTCTTCGTATGAAATTGCGTTTTTTTGAATCATAGTTGTCATATGGAGCGTGCGTGAGCACAGAACAGTGATAATTCAGATAAACCATGTATCTCGTAAACATGACGCAACAGACTCGGTAAATATAAATTTTATGTGACAAATGAAAACCGTTATGAAATCAATAATAAGCTTTATCCACGTAGTAAATGTGAACTGTAATTAAAATGCATTAAATGAACATACATATACTTGTAACGCGTATCTAATCCACGACACTAATTCATTTATTCTAATTAGATTTATTATTTCTCATTGGATTCGATAAAATCTGACACTATCACTGGCTCGTGTAAAATAAAATATAATAAAGTAAAATAAAATAAAATCATTTACGTATATAAACTCATTTACATTTAGAAATATAATTACATTATATATAATTTTATATCGTTATATATTTAGTTATATAATACAAGAGGTTCCTCAATTACTTATCATCCACAAAAAACAATCCATATCAGTATGCAAGATAAGGCAAAATATAATGGTAGTAGAAAGTTGTTGCGTTCAAAATACATGGGCATATGTATGGACACAAACAGACTCTTCGTATTTGTGTGCATTCTGCCAAGTTTTGACATGAAAATATTTATTCAAATAGATTTAAAATTGTGATCACTGATAAATGGACAATTATCTTAATCGTGCTCTATTCGCTGTAAATATTTGGTTAAACACTTGGTATTTTTTCAGCAGTTTTAGCGTCAGTACAAAATTTCGTTCTCCATAGAAAAAATGTCATTTGAACATAATTATAAAATTATATCAGGATATCAGTTTCTGATCCTTAAAATTTCTCTACACTCTGCATCCCTTATATTTTCATGTTTTATAAATGAAACACTGTATCTAAAGCAGTAAATGTATTAGAATGTGTATTGATTTAAAGAGATTGCATAACTTTTTTCTTCACTAATAGTTTTCGTTATTTTTTTTGTTTACAAGTAGACTTAAATAGACTTTTGTATTCGGAATTGACATTATTGACCAGTGCATAACAGTTAAATGTCGTCACTTTAAGATGACGTTATCATTGATTAAATAAATACTATTCAAATAACGATAAGTGAGATGATTACAAAGGATACTATATTATATTTCACTTGAGTTCAGTAAATTTTTTTCAACCTGACTTATTTATTTATGTTAAATCTTACTAATACACCAACAAGTTATTCGACAAAGTTTCAGCTAGACTAGGAGCTTCATTGCACTGAAAAATTTAACAATTTAATTTGTTGCAATATTAATTTTTAAATAGCAAAGGGACCTGTTAACTAATATATGTGACATGTTCCTTAATTCCTAATAATGTTTCATATTTATTAAAAAACATCTTTAATTAAAACGTCTTTTAACATACCCTTATTAACGTATAAATTAAATGTCTCGATGCACTTGACACCATAAACGTAATTCTTCGTGTTTATAAAGTCCGTGAGGACTTCTTGAGTATGAACAGTAACTGATTGCGCAGCTGTTTTTTTTTCTGTTTTTATTAATGCATCATATTATGATGACAGAAATATACTTCTTCAATAATAAAGGCGACGTCATGCAATTTATACTAACTACTTCACTAAATAAATATAATTTCCGAGTAATAGCACCGTTAAGAAGTACATGTGACACCCACAACAAATTGAATGTTACCAGCGATGTATTTTCTTCTCTTTATATACCTACGTAAAACAGAATCTGAGCCAGGACGCACTTTGACCTAGTAACGATACCCCCACTCTAATAAAAAAAAATACAGAGTACGTTGCACCAGACATATCTACATTTCCGTCAATAGTTTTAACTTTTAACCAAACATTTTGATTAACACCACTATACAGTGATATCCGCGTATATGACCACGATTCTGTCTGCATAAATGGCCAGGTGCTACCCTCTCCAATTCCTGGACCTGCTGGCTTGAGGCTGATAAAGCCTCGGCGTTATCTATAATCCACATCGATATGATTGAACTGATATTGAATTACCGGAGTAAGGAAATCATTTTTGTATATCTTTATTATATTGTTACAAGATGGCCTTAGTCAGATTATTGAGATTCGTACGATGAAAATGATACGAAACGACTACATTTCTACACTGGGCGTCAAAATTAAGGAACCACTCAAATTTGCCGAAAATATGGGTCATATTCAAATGATTATATCTCCGAAAAAAATAGTTATAAAAAATATTGTATACGACCATTTTGTAGCCTGAAGTTTCTAGTTTTTGAATCGGGAATTCAAAAATTATTTTCATGTAGTTTGTTCCTTTTTTTTAAAGATGATGCGCAGCAAGCGACTGTTAAAAAATGTTGGTCAACTTCGAGAGGATGCGTGGGCCAAATAAAATTTTTTCTGGTAATCCCAATGGAATACTTTTAGAGAGCAGACTTTTCTCTATAATTTCGCTTTTTTAATTTTGTTGTACCATTTTTATTGGCTGAGTTATTCGTCATCATATGAGAAAAGGCACTTTCCACTTTGAGCGTCTGTAACTTACGAACGCATGATCGTATAGAAAATTCCGAAAGAATTTTGGAAAGCTGAGAGATTTCTCTTTAAAGAACTTCAGTTGCCAATTTGTTGAAATTTTTTTTCGTCGTATACAATCCATTTCAAAATAACGTAAAATATTGCATAATTACCATTTTTCACAAAACACGATGCCATTTTAACAAAAATCATGGAATCTTCCATGTGTCCACGTTTTTTTCATGTTAAAAGTATACGTAACCCCTGTGCCAAAGGTCGAACTGATCAGATTTTTTTTACCCTATGCTCTCGATAGTGAAACTTGCAATATGGTCTGAAAAATTGGTGAATGACTCTTTTGTGGTACGTTTCCTCTGCAAAACAATTTTACAACGTTTGAACTGTTATGATCTGTTTTTTTTTAGTTTCACTTTATTTTAGAAGAAAGGAGAGATTTCAGAAATTTAGCAAACACATTTCTAGCCAATCTATTCGCAATGACAAAAAGTGCACAATGCGAAGGGATGAGAGAGTGCAGATGCTGTGTACATCCTACCCTTCCTTAATTATTATGATAAATACACTCTTTTTTTTACTAAACTTAATAAAGTAAAATAAAGTGAAACTAAAAAAAAAAACAGATCATAACAGTTCAAACGCTGCGAAATCGTTTTAAAGCTTTATTAGCTTTTGGGTAAATATTTAGAATAGGGGATGCAGCTCCGATGACCTGGACCTTGGCATATGTATATTGTCAAGGACACCCTCTTTAGTGATCTTGAGAAGGTTTTTGCCGTCACTCTTTATTTGTTAAGAAGCTGTTAATAAATAAATTTCGCAATATAAAGGTGTATGTTTAACTTCATAATTTAAATTTTACCTAGTATAAACATTATTTTATTAGAATTCTTTTCGTAATTGCGTGGACAGGGGTGAAATTATTAATTATATGGGGAATGTTTATGAAATGCGTGGGCGCATTTGCACGCTACACCCCCACTCCGAGTACAAATATAACTCTCACCTAACCCAAATCTCATTTTAAGGGAGGAGACTCCGTGGGCCGTGAGCTGTGTCGTGTGCTCACACAAGCAATGGGAACCGTGTATGTATACGCGATGCACGAGAGAGACATTCGATTTCGTAGAAACCAAAATGTGCCTCGATAATTGCACAAATGAAGTTTTAGCGGGTATAGAACTCACGAGTAGACTTCATTACAGAGTGGTCTGGTCCGTATAAACATCAATAAACACCATACGTTGAAAGAATTGGAATTTTAGAAAATGTACGATTGAGACAGACGCCGATGAAAACACACAAGATAGCTGCTCAAGACACAATTTGTTAAATATCACACGATTTAATGGTTTTCCCATCAAAACCTGAGCAGACCACCCTGAACATCACTATCACACTATCGTGGAAATTCGATTTTTGTCAATTTATCACTTCTGGATGCAGGGCCGTTCCTGGGTTGTTGGCCGCCCGGGTGCAAAAATAGTATCGCCGCCCTTATTAATTTAATATTGTTCAATTAAGAATTTAATATGCAATACCTATTTATATATTTTTATTTTTAAATAAAACCATTAATTTTTTAAGGATCTTTGATTCATTTTATGAAAATAAAAAATATTTTTTAATTTTTATTTTCATAAAATGAAACTAACATCCTTAAAAAATGAATGGTTTTATTTAAAATGAATATTTTATTCCGTATATGAGTACGAAACTAACGTATAATGTTTGTAATAATGATGTTATGGTTGATAAATATAGCGACCGTTAATTATCTACACGAATTTAATCCACTAAATATGGCTAAATATCTTGTACTACTTTGGGTTGTCCATAAAGATAGTTTATTCTTATATACGAGTAGTGTGACAAAGATTACATATAAAATTAATTTGATTGACATCTGTTTGTCTAAAATTTTCAGAATCATAAAAAAGGTTTTGATTATCATTCGTACCAATCCAAGTTTTACATATAATAAACGATCTGCGGCCGCCCCTGAATTTGGCCGCCCAGGTACGAGGGCACCTTCTGCACCCCCGCCAGGAACGGGCCTGTCTGGATGTCACATTTAGGTTTCTACGATTTGACGCTTCCAGTCTCAGGAATATACATTGACATAGTTCAAGGATTCACCGTTAAGGGCGCTTATGGTTTTTGTCAGCCACTTTAGCCATGTTACAATAAGCATCGATAAAACAACAAGCAGTCGGTAAATGTAATCTCGCAACACGAAAGGAATACAGTAGACATTCGTTTATTGCCGACCCTTTTATTGTAGCATGGGAACGCCCTTCGCTCATACCTATTTCGCACACTCGTGCGCGCACCCCACTCTGTCGTCCAGCACGCCCAGAACGGAATACATACGGTGTCGCGTTTCACTCGTATATTTCATTACAGAAAGCTAAGTGTATATAATATTGTTTTAATAAAATGTTTCATTGTTTTTAGATGTTTTCAGTTATAATCAACTACATTTCGTATTATGCTTAATTCATATTGAATATAAGTAGTTATGTAAGCAGATAAACTCATAACAAAGTCTTTAAGGTTGTTGATCATAGAAATTGAAAAGCTAAATGAGATTAATACCTATTAAAGAAAAAGTGTTTTCCTAGGGCGTGATAGTGCAAAATTTATTACAATAGTACAAAATAAAACTGAACCAATAATACTGCTTTATATAAATGATTATTCCTATAAATATTACATATGTGAAATAATTAAAAATCTCAACCTGTATATAATTGTACAACTATTTCCGCTTAAGAAACAATTAATTTTTTCAGTATATTCTCTTCAATTTGTTACTTATAATATTTTACTTCCAAGACACTTCTGAATACATGTATAAAAGTATTGGTAAATGTTTAATTCTTTGTCCAGTGATCCCTACTTGAAAATATTAATAGAAGGTTCTCAATAATAAAATCATAGAACAATAGGATTGAATATCTTAAAAATATTATGAAAATTTAACATTGAGTATGTCATGATGACTGATTATGAGTCAGAAGTAAAATATTATACCTACTAAACTCAATGCAATGAAGTTAAAATATTAATTGTCTATTAAACTGAAATGGGTGTACAATTATACATATACAGGTTGAGTTTTTCTGTTACTCCATATTAGTAGCATCGAAATGAATAACTTATTTTCCTGGAAAAATAGTCACATTTGTTCAGTTTTGCTTCTTACTGTATTTTGTTGCAATCACTAACTTGTGTTTTTCTACACTTTTGTACATAAATAAGATAATTAATAAGCAAATGGAGTTGCATATACCTCGACGCTGTAGGCAGGAGGTGGGAGGGGTGGCGGCATCTCTAGCCGTTCCCCGGGGCAGGGGGGCAATGCATCCCCCCCCCCCAGAGAAGATCCCTCCCTCAAAGATCTAGAGGGAGGGCAACGGCGGGGCTGGTCACGGTGAGTGGTCGAGCGATCCCGTGACCAATCCCTCACGCCCGAGAGGATCACCGGGGAGTTTTTAGCGTGTGAAATCCCGCATTGTCCGTCTCCGCCCCTAGCGGAAGCGGTGCACCTTTTCAAGGTTTTCCCCCCGTAAAAAAAAAAAGGTTTCAGTCAGCTATATTTAATGAATTATAATGAAACATTTGCACCAGTTGGAAGAACATCAAGTTTCAGATTTATAATGGCGTTTTCTAATCAATTTAGTTAACTAGTCCATCATATGGATGTAAAAACTGTTTTTCTAAATGGTATATTGAAAGAGGACATCTATATGAAAGTTCCTGAGGGGGTTGAATGTAGAGATGATCACGTTTGTAAATTAAATTAGGTCCTGTATGGATTTAAGCAAGCGGAAGGATCTTGGTTTCAAATTTTTGAACAAGCACTTAAAAGTGAAGGCTTTCGAAATTCCTCTGTAGATCGATGCATTTATATCTTAAATAAAGGAGATGTATCGAAAAATATCTATATGGTACTTTAT